TACGAGCGCAAAAATTATGTATGGTGTTTTGTTGAACAATATTGGGAAATATGAATCATCGTTGTCATATTTTAATAAACTTCTGTTGAGTCCTGAAGAGGAAGATCGAGCTTTAATTCACGTACATATAGCGAGTGCATTGGCGATGAAAGATGATAAGATTAATGAATGGAAACATTATGAAAATGCTTATAAAATACTAATTGAAGCAGAACCAAGACGTATTGAAGATGAAGCTCGTCTTCTCATTTATATGGGTATTTTTTGTTCGGATAAAAATGATAATGATCAAGCACTTGAATATTTAAAGCGTGCGCTTCATCTATTTGAACAAGTGTATGATAATACAAATGGTGAAATAGCTAGAGCTCTACTCTGTATCGGAAGATGTTACGAACATAAGGGTGATTATGATCGAGCTCTAGAATTTGATACTCGAGCATTAAAAATACATGAACAATGTGCAAATCCAAATCATCTTATACAATGTCATGTACTTCTTGCAATTGGTAATACTTATCAATTACAGTGCAAATATAATGAAGCAATAACTCAATTTCAACGAGCATTAGAATTAAGAACTCGAACGTTACCTAAATATCATCCCGAGATTGCTGATTGTTTATCATTGATAGGAAAAACTTTAGGTGATATGGACAATCCGAGTGAATCAGTTATCTATTCAATGCGTGCATTCTATATGTACAGTAAAACGTTACCAGAGACAGAGTTAAATGAAAAAAGTTCAGTATTAGTCGATATTGGTGTAGCATTTTCTAGTGTTGGTGCCGATCAACTTAGTATTGAATATTTATATCGTGCATTAAAAATGAAAAAAAAATGTTTACCATATAATCATCCGGATTTTGCTGCTATATTTGATAATATAGCTCTCAATTATACTAACTTGAATAAACATTTATTAGGATTAAGATATTCATTAAAAGCATGTCGTTTACGAAAACAAATACACCAATCAAGGCATCCAGATATGGCTGGATCATTAAAAGCATTAGCGTCAGTATATTTAAATATGGGTTGTTACAATAGATCGATGCATTATCTTCTTCGAGCTAAGAAAATACTAAAGAGAACAACTACTAATGTGCACCCTGAGCAACTCGATGTGAAACGACTGATTAGAATACTCAAGAAGAAGTTACAAAAAGAACAACAAAACATGAAAAAAAGAAAACGATGGAAAATACAGAATTGGAAAAGAACGTATCATTTGAGATTATTATCGGAACTTGTGAAAATCAAGTTAGAATGATGTCTACCGATGTAATATTGATGTTTTCAGATTTTTTCGATATTCAGAAGCATCTGGTTCAATTCTTCATAATACCTTTGATAACCTTTAACAATTCTATCGTATAATATACTTAAAAATTTTGAGTGAATCATCTAATCAAAGAGTGGGTGTGTATGTGAGTGAGCCAGAAAGTTATTTAATCACACTCACACCCACACCTACACCCACACCCTTTCTAATAGCTGTTTAAATATTTCTAAAGAAGTTAAATATATTTAAAAGTGTTTCTATATGATTTCAATATTTGTTATGCTGTGGTTTCGTTGATTGAGTTTGTTTCAGAATTAGTATATGCATTATTCATATATACATTTTCTACTGTTGGAAGATCTTCGATAAGATTAGTCATTGATTCTTGTCTTATTCGTTGTCTTCTCTTTGAATGCCAAAAGCCATAGGAAAAATAAATAATATGACCAAATCCCATATAGATAGCACCTCGGATGCCAGTTGCCTTTGATGTATACATTAAAAGTAGAATACACAAGAGAGCTCCTAATGTTGGTATTAGCCACTTGCCCAATGGAACTTGAAATGTTCTTGGCATATCTGAATGTGTATAGCGCATCTACAAAGTAGAATTTTAGGATATCAACTTATATACAGAACATATCTAACTTACTACAATAACATCGACATGCACGAAAAGATATATAACTAGGGCACCCATGGAAGTTGTTTCACCAAGAATATCGACTGGACATATACCAGCTATTACAGCACAAACACTACCTAGAAATAGAGATTAGGTATCGTTTATAGTGAATAGAATGGGATGTGTACCACTAATAAGTATTGAAACCCATGGTGTCTTAGTACGAGAATGTATTCTGGCAAAAATAGGTGGCAGTAGACCATCATGAGCCATGGCATAAAATATACGAGTTTGTGAAAGTAAAATTGTTAATGCTACAGTTGTAACGCCAGCAATAGCGCCTAGATCCATAATAATCAAAAGCCAAAGACCATAAGGTGTAGCTTTTCTATATAAATTACAATGTATATAATATATCTTTTTTATTATATTACTAGTAACTTACATTGCATCAGTAAGTGGGCTATGCTCATTTATCGAATAGTATGGAACAAGTCCAACCATAACAGTACTAACACCCAAATAAATTAACATTGAAATAATGAGAGAACCAATGAGAGAAATAGGTAGCGTTCGTGATGGTTTATCTGCTTCTTGAGCTACAGTTGCTACTGATTCAAATCCAACATAAGCAAAGAAAACACTTGTTGATCCTTTCAGCATACCTGTTATGCCAAACTGATTAAATGAGCCTAATTTTAAATAAAAATATATCTATTTGTTGGAAATAGTATGAAGGTAAGAGATACCTTTATTTGGAGGAACGAATGGAATAAAATTACTAGTATTTACATATTTACAACAAGCAAATATAAATATTAATAATGCAAGAATTTTGAAAATGACAAATAATAAATTAATGATTGCTGTTTGACGAATTCCAATAAAAAGAAGAATTGCAATAGCAATGGTAATTCCAATTGCTGGTAAATTTAGTACATCTCCAGTAGCTGTAATAGCTATCGTATATTCATTTACAATCAATGGTGCTTGAAGAAACACGCTTGATATGTTTAAATTGGACACGGTACCAACAAACCGTACAATATGACTACTCCAACTGACTACTACGGTAGCTGCTGCAAGCTGATACATTAATGTTAAATAGCATGCAACAATCCATGCACAATATTCTATAGAAAAAAATCAATAATTTAAAAATATGATTTTCTAAATAAAGTAATAATTGAACATACCTCCTAAAGCTAAAATGATAAAGAGAAATGTTGATAAAATCAAGAAAAGAATATAATTAGTAACTAACCCGCATAAGTATAAGTGTATGCAGATCCTGAACTAGCCATCATTACTGCCATTTCTGAAAATGATAAAGTTGCTAAGAGAGCAACAATACCAGCAATAAAAAAAGAAATAATCACTGATGGACCAGCATATTCTTTCGCTGCTTGTCCACTGTTTATAAAGATTCCTGCACCTAGAAAGTAGATTAATAATTATGAAAATCTATTTGTAACATTAGTTTAATTTACCAATAATACCACCGAGACCTATTCCAGTTAATTGAATCCAATTTAATGTACGTCGCATCTCATTTTTTGTTTCAATTTCAATTTGTATATCTTTCATTGGTTTACGTGCAATGAGTTGTTTGCCGAATGACTTACATGACCATAATACTTGCCGAAAAACACGGTATGTTAATTGTGTACATGAACTATTGTCGATAGATGTTATGTCTGACATTGTTATATTTTGGACAAGTAGAATACCTGTCTAGATTCTAAGATGTGACCGGTATATATATGTCGTAAGACAGATTGAAATCTAGTTCGGATTGAAATAGAGACATTTGGATAGATGGTCTGTAAGGGTAAAAGAGAGAGCGAGAATGCTAGTGATAGTTTCATATTCATTCATCATCATTCGTCACACACTTTTATCCTCACTCTAACAAGTATCGTCAATCAGTCAGCTATGAATAATTTGACCTAGTTGAGATCAAAATTATGATCTGTTCTAGTTCGATTTAAAACTGAACTAGATTTCAATCTGTCGTTTGATATATATGTATAAAACGAAAGAAGAAAAAAGGGAAGTAAATATGGCAAAAACTTATGCATCAATTGCAAATCATAATTTTCAAAGAGATGAAATCATGCATAATTATGAATGCTAAGAACAGACTTCAAGCAGAGAAATCATATTACCCCTTGAGCGGTTCTCTTATATTTTTTATATCCAATATTACTTGCATCTACCAGTTGGTGGTATTTTTTGTCTATATATGTTAAAATATTTCTTTGTGTTACCTTTGTTTCTGCTTGTATGAAAATCAAGTAGTAGGTAAATATTCGATATTTATACAACAAATAATAGAACTGATGAAAAATATTTTTCATTTCTTTTTCAAAAAAGAAAAGTATCAATTTTGTTTTATTATAACTGAAGAAATGCAAAATTGTGCCGAGTATTAAATCATATTGTATTATATTAACATAAATTCAGTAGAAAGAAATCTTCAAAATATCATATTTACTTTTAAATTATAACAAAATAAAGTTAATCAACGATTTCAATTATCCGCTGCATGATACATGCTGATCACATTTTGGTTTTAATCATTAAAACAATATAAAATATAAGCACATAAATATATACATGTTCAAGTAGAAATTTGTTTTGCTTTAATTCTATTAGACCGAACTTTGACGCTTTTGAAATATTATTACATACTGTAAAACTTTATTAAGATGATGAATGACGCTATAAGTTACACATGGAAAATATTTTCATTCTATTTTCTTCATTGATTATATAAAAAAAACTAATATTAGATACATGAAAGAAATAAAGAAAGACAAAAAGAGTTGCTGCTTCATAACTATTTAGTATTAACTTTGAAACAAACTTTTATTATATGACAATAAATGTATTTATATTCTATTAATATCTTATCCAAATTCAGTTATCATTTATAAAATAAAAATATTATTATGTATCAATATTCATCTCGTTTCTTCAATAGAAAAAAATATTTTTATGAAAAAGCAACATTGAAACTGTAAAATAAATGACAACTTCTCTAATATTTTATTCAATAAATAATATTATTATATGTCATTTTTAATATCAAAACCTCATTATGACTGTATCATCAATTGTATTTTCAATTATTTGGTCAGTTGCTTCGTTGTTCCAATCTGATTCAGATTCACTATTTGCATTGTTATTTGAATTTAATTCGAATTCATTCTGTGGATCGTTTGCTAACACAAGTCCTATTGTTGATACACGCTCGGCTGCACTATTAATTGATTCGAGTCGTTGTGGTTGTCGTCTCTTAGAATGCCAATATCCGAAGCAAAAGTAAAAAGTTTGACCTAATACAGTCCACGAAAGAAACTGAAACCATGTTACTTTTTTTGTAGGTATTAAGAATAGTATACATAGTATTGCACCTACTACTGCAATAAGGTTCGGATCAATTATGGTTTGAAATGGTCGTTGCAAACCTTTATGTGTATAGCGCATCTATAAAAGACATTTCAGTTAGAAAAAAAATGAAAGAATCGATTGCATTGGACTTACGACTAGAACTTCAATATGTACAAAAAAGTATATAAATAGAGCACTAACTGATGACGTTTGACCAACAATATCTACTGGACAAATACCCGAAAAAACGGCACAAAATATACCTAAATAATGAAAATAAAATCTATCTGATAACTATTTTTTTTTATAATAGATTATATACCGCTAATGATTGTAGAAACCCATGGAGTTTCAGTCCTAGAATGAATTTTAGCAAAGAAGGATGGTAATAAATTATCCTTAGCCATTGCATAAAATATTCGAGTTTGTGAAAGCAAGGCCGTTAGTGCCACAGATGTAAGACTAGCAATAGCACCTAGATCCATAAGAGCCGGTAACCAAACACCATAAGGTGTAGCCTTTCTATAGAAATTATAAAACTTATATTAAAATCATTATAGTGTATCGATAATAACTTACAAAGCAGTAGAAAGAGGATCGTCTACATTTAGAAGTTGGTATGGTACAAGTCCAACCATAACAGTACAAACTCCTATATAGATTAGGAATGAGATTAGTACCGATGCTACAGTTGAATATGGTAGTGTTCGTGTTCGTTCTTTTGCTTCTTCAGCTACTGTTGCAATTGAATCAAAGCCAACATAAGCAAAGAAGACGTATGTGCATGCATATGCAGTACCTGATGCTCCATAGTGACTAAACGAACCTAAGACATGTAATGCAAGTCATTCATTTCTTAACTTTAATAATCAAATAATTATATATACCTTGATTTGATGGAATAAACGGTTGATAATTATCAACATTTACAAATTTACAAGTTGAAAATATGAATATCAATAGAATAATAATTTTGATTACTACTAACACAAGATTGACTATAGCTGTTGCGTAAATTCCACTCATAAGAAGAATTGTAATAGCAATAGTAATAACAATTGCAGGTAAGTTGATTGCACCGCCAGTAATTGAAAAACTTTCTGTATCATCACTCCAAGCTACTGGTGCTTGGATTAATGAGGTTGTTGCATTATAATTAGATACAACGTAAATAAAATGGGTAACATATTTGCTCCAGCTAACTACTACTGTACAAGCAGCTAATTGATAAGTAAGTGCATAATTCCATCCAATAAACCAAGCTGCATATTCTACAAAGAAGGACAAAAAAAAGATCTTTTATAACATTAATTTTTGATTGTATACCTCCTAAAGCTATAATAATAAAAATACATGCTTATAAAAATAAATAAATAAAAAATATGAACAAGAACTAACATGCATAAGTATATGTATAGGCTGCACCGGACAGAGGCATCATCGCCGCTAATTCAGAAAATGATAAAGCGGCTAGTAAAGCGACAATTCCACTGGCAATAAACGAAATAATTACTGATGGACCAGCATATTCTGCAGCAGCTTTTCCACTTAAGTCAAGTATTCCTGAACCTACAAAGAAGATAAACACATTTCACACGATGAATAGTTTTTAAATTTACTGACCAATAATACCACCAAGACCTATACCAGTTATTAGATACCAGTTTAATGCTGGTTTCAAAACATGTCGTGTATTAATAGTATCATGTACCTGAGTCATTGGTATACGTTTAGTAAGTCGTTTGATAAAAACTGTAGCACAAGACAATGATTGTTTAGCAACTTTATTGTCAGCCATCCGTTGTTGTATATATGGTTTTAATCGTATTATAGTTTCAAAAATGATACGTACTATATATCAATGCATTAGTTATATACAGTACGCATTCTTGGTAGTATATGCTAATAGAGAAAAATCCAGACAGAGTTTGAAAGTCAGGTATACAAGCATAGTCAAAAAAAAAGGAAGTAGATATGAAACATTACCTAATGATGCGTGACAAATATTTTTGAGGTAAAGGTAATGGGTCGCATATTGATATGGCAAAAAAGTGTATACAAGTCAAACATATTAATGTTACCTGTCTTCTTCCTGTTCTTTTTTTGTTTATTTGATTGATTTTATATCGAGTCATATATCTTATCATTTGAATATAATACTAACGTTATATTTTGATGTTAGAACTTTTCGTCGTCATGATTTATTATACAAAAAAAGAAACAGAAAAAGAAAAGAAACCACGTGTACTTCATTACTCTAAATTATAGTAACACATTTTAATAGAGAAAAAAAAATATATTATTTTAATATCAAGTTACTGCAATTGTCATAAATCAAACGTGATATTTATTTCTAGATTTAACACTATGGTAATATTCATGATATTAAAAAATATAATGGAAAAAGATGTACTATACATTGTGAATTTGAAATATTTTTTGTAAGAAAAATACAAGTAGAAATAAAAAGTACATGAAAGCCATATATCATTTTGAAAATATTAATATGTTAGTCATTTAAAATCGAAATTATGTAAGAAAAAATATTACATTTGTAGAAGTATTACTCTATAGACTCAAATGAAATATATTCTTGTATAATTTTTTGAAAGTCATTAATTATGTATTACGTCGTATGTATCCAAATTAGTTTAACAAAATCTGATATCTAGTATTGAAATATTATGAATATTTGGTGTTACTGAAACTCTATACTAAGCTTAATTTTGACAACATAAAACTAATGAAAATGCTATGAAAATAATAAGACTAAGATGATTTTATTTGGTCAGAAGATCGATCTTATCCAGAGCAGTTACTTTAATAATTTATTTAGATTCTCAGTTTCATAAATAATTCTATGTTAAAATCGCTCTTTAATATCTTCAATAAGCAAGAAATAGCTAATCAATGAAAAAAAAATGTTGTAAATAAAGTAAATTAGTTAGGCAACTATGTTGTTTTAAATCAGATAAAAGTTTTTAATCATACTTTTTATCCATTTTTTTGTTATTCAACGTGCTCAAAGTTAAAGAATAAACAAAAGAAAACGATCAGATCACTGATGACTAACTATCTCCATGCTTTATGATATATAATAGTCATTTTAATTTAATCGAACACAATACGATTTCACCGATAATTTCTTTTTATTTTAGATACAAAAAAAATCAAATGCGAGAACAGCAAAGAGAATTCCTATGCGTCAGCTATCACCAGAAATACCTTCACTTATGAAATCTACGGAATCAAAAATTCTTGATAGTGATATTTTTTGCTAATGGCCAACTATTATGAACAAATTTTGAAGGCAAATATTTAATAGGTTTAATATTAAAAACAACAAATTAAGATACTGAAACTATTCTTCAAGAAAAATTTCATTCTATTTTACGAATGAATTATGATAAAAATAGTTCAACAATTGTTTTTAAATATTGGCAATTACAAACACTTGTCAATGAACATTTTAAAAACAAAATAACAATCATCAATGAATTCACAAAAACGTCAAATGACTGTTCGGAATATTAACTTTAATGAGAACGAATTATATTTGTTTCCTATATACATATCATTATTATCTAAAACTGCTGTTTTTCATAATTGTAAAACTACTTCGAGATATAAATAAGATAACAAAATTACAGAATAATAAGAATCATAGTTTCTTTGTAGTTTTTTTCTTAACTTTTTGTTTTTGATTTTTTTTAGAAGACAGATATATAATTAAATGTGTTCAATAAGTTCTTGTTTTTTATTTATAAAATTTCATTCCACTACATTAGTATCTTTTTGATCGCATAAAGTTAATCTTTAATTTGGCTATGATATATATACATTTTAATAAATAGACAATGATTTATAAGACCTCGATGATAAACATCTTATATGACATTATATTTATTTATTGTCCTGTCTGAGAGTGTAGAAAGTATTGTACATATGTTATGTCATAAAATTTTTCTTGACTTTTGAGTAGATCTTTTGTATTCAATTCGAAGTCTTTTTAAATCTTGTTAGAAATAAAATTTTAAGATAATTTGATAATATGCTCTAAAATTT